TGGCCTGTAGGTCTGCTTCTGGGCATTTCCCAAGTGCCTTATAGTTGAGTGTGCTGGGCAGCGCGCTATCTACACAACTGGGCATTTCTCTGCGTCTCTTGCATCTGGGGTTCAATTCAGTACAGGTTCTCCGAGCATGTCCTCCTGTTGAAGCCATTCTGTTTTTTAAGAGAAAAAAATAAATGTTAATTGAGCTAGAAGGGAAACGAGTGAGTGCGATTTTATAGCCTACTGATTCAACGCTTAAGAAAAGGGACTCTTTGCTACACTGAATAGAATATATAATATACAATAATGAAATATTAGGTAAACCAGGCAAACTAGAGACTTGAATCTCAGTCTTCTACATCATATTTTTTAATTTACTGTTTTACCTTTAATAGCTTTGGGCTAAGCTCTATTATTCCAGTTGCCTTTGTGGCATTCATAACGCACCTGCTAAAAAGAAATTCCAAATATTTCCACAATTCTACATGAAAAAAAATGTTTACAAATATGTTCTTTTAACTTCTATATTTGATATTACTTCATGACTTGCATTATATCAAATAATGTCCTAAGATAACATAACAAATAACAGTATTTTATTTTATTTAAAAAGCTGCAGCTACTTATGAAGATTAAAACATCTTATCTTCATGTTTAAAGTGCTCTATTTGTCTAATAATAGAATAGTTTGATCCTTGGTACAACATAGGAGAAACTCTTCATTTTGTCATTTACACCAAAATACCATTTTCCAAGGGGAAAAATGTTTTGATGACTTTTTCCAACCAACTCCAGTAAAGATAGTTAGTCCTTTTTAAAATACAGCCACTAAAAATCATGGTTTCATATGTAGTTATTTTTAAAACTTGTCTTAAATTAAGAGAGTACTAGCATCAACTTAGATTTTTCTACTTTCAGTTGTAAAGGTAAATAAATCCAGCCATCTTGAAGTAAATGTACCAAATTAAATATAAATCACAGATGTGGAGGTTATTACCTAAAAATGGTTATGTAAACCAAATATAGTTTTCTCAATTTCTTATAACCCTAAGAGTGCAGACACCAAGTAGCCAAAAATCAAAGCTTCAGACTTAATTTGTTTAATGCATTTTACAGAATCACAAATTCAAAAAAGAATCTAAAATATTTTGGGAAGGCTCATGCCATCAGAAAGATTTTCCTTTTTCCTTGCTCTGAGAGCACAATGTTAACATTCCTTGAGTGACCTGCAGTTGGCAGAAATCCCAGATTTTATTGTATATGCCCTTCAAAACTCAAGGAAGATGGTGTTGTCTAGGACTTAAAACTTCAACGTACTAGATGGCAAGTCAGGTCAACATTTGAAAAGGTCTCCACTGATGGCCAGATGTCCTTCTAAAAGACTTACTATGATTTAACCACTTAAAGTGGTGGGTTAGCACCCCCCCACCTCCAGCCTGAAACAGTTCACCAGAACTCCCTAAGTAGTAGATTACTAGACTAGTCTGGGGGGTGCTGGATGGAGTGGGTGAGTGGGAAGGCAGGGTCTCCATAGAGACTGGCCTGGGACCCCCGTGGGCAGGGTGCACTCAGCTGGATGGATGGGATCGGGATGTGGGTGGGTGAAGAGCGGCGTCTGGGAGTGGGATGGATGAGTGTAGCCAGGGCCACATCCTACGGCAGAGCCATGATGTGTTTCCTGCATGGCCCTGTGCTGTCACTGTCCCACAATCCCAGCCCCAGCTCCCGCCCTGGCCACCCATCCCACTCCCAGACACTGCTTCCCACCTACCTGCCCTCTTTATCTGGTGCCCCCTGGTGGCGAGTGTGGGGCAGATGGGGCGGGGTGTCCAGGCAGCAGGGCTGGGTCTGCTGGGAGTAGCAACACTGGCGGCAGCAGCTGGAAGGAGCCACCGTCACCAGGGCTGCCAGGAAGCTGAGTCCGGCCGCAGTACAGCCCCAGCCCTGCTGTGCACCTGAGGGTGGTTAGACTGGCTGCACATGCCACAGCCCGGGCTGCCTCCCACACCTGGGCCAGGCGGGGCCAAGGGACCTGTCGTGGGCAGGATAAAATCCTTTGGTGGGCTGACCTCAGCCCACAAGCCACATTTTGCCCACCCCTGGTCTAGATACCTCAAATCGAACATCCAAACAGAAAAATATTAGAAATCCCTTATAATGGCTAGTTTTTTGACTAGGCATTGGAAGGGAGAAGGAAACAAAAGGTGAAAAGAATTCTTCCAAATAACATCTTGCTACATGTTGCATAAAGTCAGAAGTCCAGCAGCTATAAATGTAGATGCTGTTCCCAATAGCATTTACTTTTTCTTTGGGAATTTAACAGCAATAAAATATTACAAATACCAGTAATGAGAAAACAAACAATATGCACCTGTGAAATTCAGAGCACCAGATCTTGAATTTCTTGATCAGAGAAACCTACTAGTGGGTTCAGTGACAGTATTACTTGAGTAAGGGAGCAAGATTTGGTCTTAACATAATTTAGTGACTATGGTAGTGGACTGGGTCAGCTTTGAAAATCTTGAGAATAAATAAAAGCATTTTTAATCCAATAGTTCATTCAAATTGATACAAAGCAGCTAATCTGAAGCACCAGGTTCCTGTAGAGATATTTCAAGTATCCAAACTAAAATTAAATTTTAATTACTGCTCTACTATTACTCTTTGGGTGCGTCTACATGAGACACTTTACTGCACAGTAGTGTAGTTTACTGCACAGTAAGCATGTGCATCTACACATGTACATGCTTACTGTGCAGTAAACCTCGCTAATTGCGAGTAAATTTGTTACCTGCAAATACAAGTAGTAAATTTACTTTCAGTTAGTAATGGTACAGTAGCACTTCCGTAAATGCCTGCCAGGGAGCAAATCTGCTCCCAGTCGGCCAGCCACCAGGGGGCAGGAGATTTCTCCCTGCCCCCAGGAGGTGTCTGCTACCGGGCTGGGCTCTGCCACTGGCAGATAAGGGCAGGCTCCCCAGCCTGTTCCACACCCAGGTCTGCGTTCACGGAGCTGAGCAGGGGAACAAGCTCCCCAGCCTTTTCCCCAGCCAGTTCTGTGCTCACAGAGCTGAGTCGGGAACAGGCTCTCCAGCCTTCACCCTGCAGTGGGGGCTGGGAACTCTTGGGGAGGGCAGGTCCCAGCCCCATGTCTCATGTCCCAATCAGTGATTGAGGCATAGAGCTTGGAAAGAGCTGCAGGGGTGGGGTAGGTCCCAGCCCCCTGCCCCATCTGCTGGTGGGGCAGCTAGCAGCAACCTAGCTGCCAGTTGCCCCACCGGTGGATCAGGGCAGGGGGCTGGTAAAACTCCCCCTGGTGGCAACAGGGACCCATTGCAGGGCCTCAGGAAGTGGGAGTAGTTTGCTGCCATTAGCACCAAATCTGCTCCCACTTCCCTGCCTATGTAGACACCTGCCCAGGAGCGCTTACTCATGAGTTTACTCCCTAGTAAACTGATCCTAGATCAAATGCATATGTAGATGCACCCTTTGACAATATAAATCAGCCAGTAGGATGTAACACTAAGCATTCTGCCTACTTACTGGGTGCATCTACACATGCACATTTACTGTGCAGTAATGTAAATTACTGCACAGTACAGGCACATGTCTACATGTGCACACCCGTACTGTACAGTAACTATGGAGACTTATGCCAACTTGGGTGTAAATTTGATTCCTGCATCATTTACGTATCAAATTTATGCCTGATTAGTTACTGTGCAGTAACGTACGTGTAGATGCCTTACTGTGCAGTAACGCTGTGTGTGTGTGGACTGACTTGGGACTAAAGTTAGTCCCAAGTCAGTCCACACACAGCATTAATGCATTTTAATGGCTGCATGGGTAGACACCGGCCTATTCCCACTTACTGCGCATAACTTATTGTACAGTAAATTTAAGCCGACGTAAACGAATGTGCAGACATGCCCACTGTGCACTAACCAAGGTGCTTCCTTTCTCAAATAACTTTACAACTTCCATCATAAAATAGAAAAAATCCAAGGGAGGAGTGAATTTCAATTAAAGACATTTCTCAGAAATGTCTACCATTAGTTCACTTCCATTTTGAACAGGTGGTGCCAGCTTGAATACTTCTGCTGATCGTAACTGCTACAGTATCATACATGGGAAAAAAAAAATCTGTGTCTGCTAGCCAGGTTCCAAACCATATAGGTTATTATTAGTCAAAAGCAATTCCCTAAATTGAATTAAAAAAGTTGATAGGCTGCTAGTGCAAACTACAACATAACTGTGTTTTTACAACTCTTGCTGCACCTAAATAAATAGGCAGTCACATTCTCCCATTTTAAAAATGCTTGTAAAATATAGCCTCAGATAGTTGCAGTGTGTACTATTTTGAAATGACAAAGGCATAAAAAACAAAGGCAATGAGGTCCAAGTTCAACAGGAATGGGAACATTACGCTGTTTTTGATGAGCATAAATAGAAAAGGCAGTCTTGGGCACAGCTGCAACCTGAGCATCCTGGAATCCTTAGCTTTTAGCAGAACTCTCACATCCTTAATCTAATAACACTAATTACAAATTTCCTCAAAGAACCAATATAATCACTGCCATTTTTTCAGGTTCCTTCTCCGCTGATAGATGTGCTGTTTGAAGTGCTGCAAGTGCTTCAGAAGTGCTCCAAACAGCCTGGTTACAAAATGTGCATGACTGAAGAAGCGCTTAAATAATGGCCACAGTGCTTCCTGAAACATCTGTATGCTCCAGCAGTTCTCCCACATCCCACAATGCTCCACTCCCCATTTCAACCCTCTCATTAGACTTCCCCCCACCGAAAAAATAAATTAAAAATAGGTTGATAATAGACAAGACTGTCCCTGGAAATTTGTTTTCAAAATATCTAGCATTTTTCAGATTTTAAAGGGACAGAAAATCTCCATCATTGATAGATAACGCATTTTTCTCATACACATGAAAATGAACCACCAAATTCAAAACCTTTATTTCTGAAGTTGTTACAATACATCCACATTTAACTGGATGACTGGTGTGATAATCTAGTAAATTAACATTCCAAGAAGATCTTGTAGAAAATATCATTTAGTGTTTTCTGAATTAAACTATTTAAATATTACATGGATCATTTATTTCACAGCTATGATGTATCACAATCATCTTTGTAATTTCTGGTTACAGAGGTATTTGATGGAGAAGATGAGGCTTAAATATATCTGTTTTCGGCTGTGAACTTTGAGAATCCTTCAAGATCAGGTGCCTGTTAATAAAATAAAAACACATTGTTAAGCAATCATTCTTTTCCTAATAAAGTAAAATGAAACAGCAGCCACAGCATTTAATATTCACTCCAGTCACAGCATTTAATATTCACTCTTTTTACTCTAAGTATACCCACATGTAAATAAACTGATCCCCCTGAAATGTTCTTTAAGTTAAACTTGCTAGTCTGTACACCTCACAATGGTAAGCTGTACAAAAGTCAAGAAATAAGTCTTTAGAACATCCTTATTTTATTCGGTCCACTTTTAACTAACAATTACCGTCCTTACAACATACAGCTCATGTATGTGAAGAACCAATTATGCACTCTAATAACTTGGACCACATTTATAATTTTAATTCTATACTCCTGGATATGTTTATTTTTTCCTCTGTGGCATAGGAATGGTGTGGCTTTTAGAACTGTATTAGTTCTATGCACTGTTTTTTATCTTTGTATATAACTAAGATATGGTAACATATTAAAAACGGCTTCAAGGTATACCGTTGTATGCAACACCCCCCCCCAAACAACAAACACTTTCTGCCAAAAAACAGCTGCTGGAAATTGCAGTTTGTATTGTATATGAGAAATAGCTTAAGAACAGTTTCCACTAGTTACCAGGCAAAAGTGAAAGTAAAATCTTCACTTGGTTCACAGGGAACAGTGGGGAGCAGAACAATAAGTAGGCTTGACTCCTTAGCTTCTGCTACTTAGTTACTGGGCATGTCTACACCAGACATTTACTGTAGACTAATTAGTTCTGCAATAGGTGTCTTCCATCTACACATGCAAGGCTATTAGGCAGGAGTACAGTTTTTTACTCTGTAGCAGTACATGCGTAGACACTGATACAGCTGGGTGGGGCACAAGGCTGCTTCAGTATGGGGGCTGCCTGCTGGCTAGCCCTGCACTGGAGCACCCTCACATTCTAGACAGCCCCTCCACAGCATGTTGAGCTAGGCTGGAGCAGTAAACTCTGGGGTTTATTGCTTTGCAGTAATTACACATGTAGATATGCCCACTTGCTACAAGGAAAGGTCTTTTTTCCTTTTCTGCCTTTGAAAAACAAGGGATATGTTATATGCAAGAAAGTATTGTTGTTTAATGTAGCATTTAGAAAAAAATAAATGAATGACTGAGAAGTTATTATTGATCTAAATCCAGCATTTTATGTAAAAAACTGAGAACTGAAATGTACATGTTTGCACGTGTGCAAACAGACATACTTGTGACTTTTTAGTAAGGCTTTTGACATTGTGTCCAACATTCTCATTAACAAGCTAAGAAAAGACAGACTGGGTGAAAGTACAGTAAGGTAGATACATAACTGGTTGGATCATCATTCTTAACAACTGGTTTTCAATGGCTCAATGTCCAGTTCGGAGAAGGTATCAACCAGGGTTCCCCAGAGGTCTGTCCTGGGTCCATTATTGTTTGCAATCTTCATTAATGATTTGGACAACGGGATTGAGCGTATGCTTAGCAAATTTGCTGATGACACCAACTTGGGTGGAGTTATAGACACTCTGGCAGGTAGGCCTAGGGTCCAGAATGAGTTGGATAGACTGAAGCAGTAGTTCATAACCAACCAGAGGAAATTCAATAAGGACAAGTGCAAAGTCCTGCACTTGGGATGGAATAACTCCATGCACATGGAAAGACTGGGGAATCAGTGGCTAGACTGCAGTACTACACTATGTAATCTCTGAATAGCAGTGTCCAGTTACTTGTGCCTGTGTCCTGATTCTCTTTATGTAACCAGTTAAGAGCATCAAGGACAGAGCAGCTGCAACTATTTTTCATTCTTTTGCTAACTCAGAATTAGCTTAAAGAAACTTAAAAAACAGGGGTAGAAGGCAGGCCACATGATCCACCCAGACAAAACCATCTTAAGGTAAACAATAAGACTTTTTTATCTTTATATATTCGTCTATTCCATATGCCTAGCAAGCAGTGTCCCATATAAAACTAAGGAAATCTAGTTGCCACTAAATAAACAGTGACTCTCATACCCCAACCCTAAATTTGGGAGCATGGTGGGGAAAAGCTGAACCTGGCTGGAAAACTGGGTGGCATAGCAAAATCACTGCAAGGTAGGAATGAAATAGATAAGAGCCTATCAAGCTATTCTTGCAGGATGTAATCAAGAATCTAGGCAATACGAGCCCTCATCTAACTGAGGTTGCGCTGGGCTGCCAATCTTTTCTACTCTGGGCAATGATTTTCTGTGTTTGACCTCCTGCTCTGTAATAGGATTCCTTAGACTCTGCCAATGGCACTTAACAAGTCAGCATTCAGGCTGTCTGGAAAATGACTTTGGATCTGGCAGGGAAGCTTTTTTCTTCAACACCATCTATCAATACATGTTTATAGAGAATGAAAACTGCACACACTAGGTACAGTTATTGTAACTGCACAATTATATTAAGGTAGGGGTCAGCAACATTTTGCAGCAAGGGGCTGGCTACTTTAATGGGGCTTAGCTTGTGAGTGCAGGCCACTTCCAAACCCGGCTGTGCCACTAGAGCTGGAACTGCAGGATGTCGCTACTCCTCTCCACAGTGCTGTTTCTCCTACTGCCTGCGAGAAGTGGCCCACGGTAGAAACACCATTGAAACCCCCAAGCTCCACAAGTTGGAAACAACATCATCGGTTGCTGAGCCCTGTGCTAAGGCCTTTTGACTATTTCCAAGTCTTCGTTCTTTTCTTTGTAAAATAGAGAGGCTCCAAATTTAAAGCACTAATGAATTCCAAAACTTGTTAGTGTGAAATGTGTTATATGTGTTAGAGAGTGGAGGAAACAAGTTAATGATCTAATACACCACTTCCCAAAGTGTGGAACACACCCCTGTGGGAAGGGCACAAAAGGTTTTGGGAGGGGGCATGTGAATCATGGCTGCTGGTTCTTCCTGTACACCCCCCTGCTTCAGCTGTTGCAGGCTTCTTCCATTGCTGCCAAGCAGAATCAGTAACAGTGCAATCCAGTGGCAACCAATTCCCCTTGCCACTGACTCTCCACCAATGACTGTTGCTGATTCTACTCACTGGTGGCAGTCTGTGCTGGGTGAATTGAGGGCAGGGGTGAGAAGGGAGCTCCACTCTGGGATTTGCCCAGCCTGCGTTTGTGGGGGAAGGGACAGGTGGATTGGACCCCCCCACATACACCTTGGAGGAGGGGGGAGGGGGGACTCCAAGCCACCCACTGCCCCTCAAGCACAGGCTGGGTGAACCCTAGACCGGGGCTCCCTCCCAGGCTTTCTCCTCCTTCCCATCTTGAAGACAGCACAGGGTGGAGCTTGGCTGATGCAGCCCAGCCCTGCTCAAGCGCAGGGACAAACAGAAGTTAATGAAGATGCTCTGCTTTGGAGTGCCTTCATCTGAACCCTTATTAAATAAGGGTTAATCTGTTGCACTATCTGGCACTTTTAAAGAGCTCTGCAGCCATGCACTTCTGTCATGGCACGGCTGTCGAGTGCTTTCAGGGGGCCAATCATGCTACAAATACCACTTCTGTCAGTGCCCTTACAGAACACTGAGCTAGTAGACAGCATTCAAGTAAGGAAGCCCTAGTTAATGGTAAACTGGGTACATAGCAAAGAGAAGGCAGATTCCCTTAAGAACCAAATATTTCTCAGAATGTCATATCTTATGTTATTAATAGTTTCCAAGGACTACTGAGAAACTGCTTTGCACTGGTATTCAGAGGTCAATTAAACCATGAAGTTTCTTAAAATTTGCAGCCTTTTGCCTAGCTACACTTCCTTTATAAAAGTTAAACCCTCAGTTAAACCCCAGGGAAGAGAAAAAAACAGGTTTCTAATGCATTGTAGCTAGACTTTATAACCCCAAAAGAAAATTAGGAAATAAGCTTGGTAAGAAACTTATTTTATGTACTTTCTCATACAACTTTCTTTCTGCTGTATTGCTAAATTTGTGCAATGCTAGTAAAATCCATTTAAGTTGTCTATAAACAGTCTCAAAATCATTTAATAAATCACTTAATGAAGAACTAAATTTAGTAGGGTCTCAGTCGGTTAACTGGCCAATAATCTAGTCCTATCCATCCAGTTGCAGTATGAACATTCTATATATTATACTAGAAATAAAGTTGACTTTAGTTGGGCAGAACAATCTCAGATGTAAGGTGTTATTAGCTGTCCAACTGTGCATGTCACTGTTGGTAATATATTGTTGACAATTTCACACACCCAAATATCCTACGACAGATTAAAAATCATTAGATAGTCCAAAATAGTAAGTTTGAGAAGCTTTTTATTTTCTTCTAGTTTTCAAACAGTATTAGGAGAAAAAAAATAATCCAACTTCTCCCCGAAGTATGTGAGATTTAAAAGGTTCAAAATCCAGCCTTGAATACACATGCACAAATGTGCCTTTTTCCTGAACTTTTCAGGGGTTCCCCCTTCCAATTGCAGATCCTCAAGATGGGAGAGCTACAAACCAGTTCCTTCCATGTCCCAGCTTCCGTATTATTCTCTGCATCCCATTGGATTCCCACCTGATCCCTACAGCCCTATCTTTAAATCCATTTTTTCCTCCCTTATTCTTCACGTACATCTTTCACAGTTGCTATTCCTTACAGTCCCTGTATCCAACAATGTTTCACCAAGACCTTTGTCAATTGAAAGGCATTCATTTCACCTCTCCAAATTTCAATCTCAAAACAGTGGCAGGGGTCAAATCCTTTATTAAGGCTGGCCTCACTTCTACCGAAAGTAAGGGATGTAGAAATTACAATCATTACTGAATAAGGAAAATTTGGAAATTAGCAACCTATCATCCGGGTTTCATAGGAGAAGTAAAACGACATAGTCCAAACGCACTAGAGTTGCAATAAAATCATGAGAGTTGTTCTTGCAGACTTATCTGACACCTTGGAGTTCTGGATGTTTATATGTAGAAGCATCTTAATTTAGGAGAACATTCTGTGTACCTGAAGTTTGTTCAGGTGATTATTAAAATATGTTTATAAGAGG